CATTACATAGAGACCTTCAGCGCAGTTTATTTCCAGATGCTATGGTAGGTAAAAGCCGACGTCTGCTGTCCTTGCCACCGCCCCCTCCATCACCACTAGCCCTGATGTTGAGGCGACCACCTCTGGCTCCTACTTGGAAATCCTCTTCTCCCGCTTGCACTCCCTCCTCTACTGCTAATATAAGTCGTCTACTTTCCTCTGCCTTTACCTCCTTCTCTGTTTCCGCCTCCCCTACTGACTCTTCCTCTGATTATTCCTCTAATCCATATCCACTGTTGTAACTACCAACAAAACAATCATCTTCCTGTTTTTTAAAGTCCATCACCTTTCTTTGGACGACTCCTTCCGGTCGCACTCTATCACAATCAACACTCCCATCCACGAAGTCCGTCGGCAACAGTGGTATCTCCACTAATGTTACACCAGCTATCAACCACATATGCTGCGACAGAGTAGATGGATGTAAATGTGAATGTGGATGTGCAGGCGGATAAGGAGGAGGAGGAGGAGGACATGAGAGTCGGTGTGATGATTGCAGAGCCAGAGGAACAGGTTCACACATTCTCTTGCCAAAAATTTCCTCATGAGTGACTCCCTTTGATCAAACACGCAAATGGTCTCATGACTGAGTAAGTGTTACTGTGCCAGGCTCTAGTATTTTCAGCCGGAGGGTAATCTGACCAAGCCGCAATGTCGAGAGCAATTTAATGATGCTGACGACATTGAGTTGGCAAATGAGGAATCAGAATGTGACCTGTCTGATTATCTGGCTGAGAGTTGGTGGTCGAATATGGATGAGCAGAGGAAGAGGTGGCAGTTATCACCACCCTCCCAGTTGTGCTACACATCTATTAGCATTACATTTTCACCTTAACAACAGTGCCACCGCTGTTGTCACGCCAATTATCAACCGCTTATGCTGCAACGGAGGAGGTAGATGTGAATGTGAATGCCGATGTGTAGGCAAACAAGGGGGATGTGGATATGAATATCGGAGTGATGATAGCAAAGCTGGAGGAGCAGAGCCGCACATTCTCATGTTCAAAACTCCCTGGTAAATGACTCCCTTTGAGCAACCATGTGAATGTTCTCTCGGCTGAGAAAGTGTTCCTGTGCAAAGCTCTGGTATTTTCATCTCTACACGTAGAAACAAGCCAGCCAGTCAGTCAGTCATTCCGTCGGTCTGTCAGTCGGTAAGCTAGCTGACCAGTTAGAGGAAGAGAGGAAAAATGAGTCAATGATAGAGTAAAAGAGAATAGATGGCAGGATTCAAAAATGAATACCTAAATAAACGTCTGGAATGAAGGAGTTGTTGATGTTACGCCTACTGTTGCTACTATGAGGTGTAGCTAGTCAACGCTTGCAGAATGGGCGTGTGGATAGATAGATGAGTGAGGGAATGGAGGATGTGAAGAGAGTAGACACAGTTGTGTAGAGACGTAGATCATGCGGTGGGTGGGTGGGTGATGCGGAAAAGGAAACCAGTGCTTGTCTTGACACTTCAGCTTAAGCTTCATTTACTGCACATCTCTTCTCCTAGCCGCTAATCCACAACCCTCGACTCTCCCACCTCTTTCAGTAAGTTTGCACTCTTCCCTTTTGCTTTTCCACTGTTCTAATGCTTTTCTT